ACAGCTGGCTCGCTGCTGGCTACACACACACACGAACACACACACGAACACGCACACGAACACACACACGAACACACACACGAACACACACACGAGAGCGATTACATTACCTCCCTGCAACTCCGTTGCGCGAAGGTAATGATAGAACGCCGGTGCACCCTAGCTCACACATCGCAATCCCACACTGTCTATACATTGCACCTATAGTCCCCTATGCACCTACATGATGACATCACAGCTGGTACCCTCATCCGCGACATCTAATATAGCCATCACACAACACCGAATTCCACGCCGACATTCTACGTGCTTCCGTCATGAAATCTAATACATATAGCGTTCGTTGGCACGTGCATCATGATAGATTTACACGCTATTTATCACGTGCACAGTTATTTATTGAATTGTTACCAACTATTTATTCCTCGACTGCACTATAAGATCAGAAACGCGGTTAACTAAATGATTATCTTAATGTGAATAGAAATTAGAGCTAGAGAAACGTGGGTAATGTACATGATGCCCTATTCAGGGATCAATAAGTTTTTCTTTTACGACACGCTGCTTTCCCTATTTTTAATCACAGTAATTAGCATCTATATATGCATTCTAGTAAGACTTCACGATATTTTTAGTTAATACTACATTTTCCTATAAAATTTCATGAATAGAAACTGAAAAATTAACAATCAAAACAAAATGGCCAAATCTAACTCCATAAATTCCAAAGTATGAATAAGTCTAAAGTCTAAATTAAGTCTAAAGTAATAGCCAAAATATGACGTTTCTACTTTGAAACGCAAGCAAACGTAACAACATATGAAAAGGCAAAGATTTTCATAATCACAAACAAATCTGGTGGCGAAAAACGGTAAAAATTACACAAACACATTCTGCAGGGTTGACTTTTATTTCAAAAAGCCGTAATTCGATGCACCTAGCTGTGGCCTGGATGTAAACGTGTTAGACAGGCGGCGGCAGTGTGTAGCTTCGTAGTGTAGAGTTAGCGATGATGCGGACAGACGGTGCTGTACGTGCTAACACTGAACACACGCCCTGCTGCCAGCTTCACAGCAACACGTGAAGTTCCTGTAGCACACGCTAACTCTCTCATATCAGTCTCTCTCAGTCCGGAGAGTAGAGTTTCTCTACATCTCACCTCTGCTCACGTGCGAATGTGTATGATATGTATTTCTACCTGAACGTTTCTTTTATATCCTACCTCTCCTTGCTTCTATGGTTTGGTGGTCTACAACCGACCACTTCTTCCACTCTATATGATACCCTCACATGGGTAGAAATAAGGGGGGAAAAGAGATGGTCCACAGGACCATCTAGTTTGAAATTTAGATGGTCCTCCTAAATTTTACAATAATGTACCCCAAACCCAAGAGAATAGGGTTACAAAGCCTCCCTATCCTTTTGTGCGGAGGAATGCCTGAGTGAGGGCGTGCAAGCACAAGAAAGATATTTTACATGGTGATAAAATTAATGGTTTAATTATTCACCTACATTAAAACAATAAATGTATCAAACGAGACAGTAATTGTTTGATATATTCACTTTATAAGTTTATTTAATATATATAATCAAGAGCATATAAAGAAGGCGTATAAACCTTCTTTATACGCTCTTGATATAATAAATATATTTAATAGTATATTGGAAGGTGGAAACTTCAGAGAAAATTATCATAAAATGGGACCAAAATATTCAATGGTCCATCGGACCATTGACTTTGAAAATCTGATGGTCCTCCTGATTATTTGATGGCCCCGGACCATCGGACCATCGCCTATTTCGACCCCTGCCCTCATTCTACCTTGGTTTTGCTCTCTCTCATGCATGTGTTTTCCAACACGCTTTTTTTTAAACATGACCTTGTAACGTGTTTTCCGAAATGTAAAGGCACACCACGGTATGTACACTTGGTTCTTGATATATATATATATA